TTTTCTTTACACTGAGTAGCAATCCATACTGAAAGCTGTTGTCTTGGATTTTCATCAGTAAGTGTTTCACTTCCAGCAAGCAGGGTTGTATTCTCTGCATATCACAAATATTTAATGACTCTTCCTCTGATCCTGATGCCACCTTTTTCATAGAATTCAGCTCCTTGACTTAATAGCTCACTGTGCAGACTGAGTAAGTATGGTCAAATGATGCAACCCTGGTACAAGCCTTTACTGATTTTAAACCATTCCATATCCCCTTGTTCTGGTCTTATCAACTGCCTCTTGATCTAGATACAGGTTCTTCATGAGCACAATCCAGTGTTCTGGAATACCCATTCTTTGCAGTGTTATGTGTATCTTGTTTTGATCCACTCAGTTGAAGCCCTTTACATAGTGAAGTAAACATCTTTCTGGTAGTCTCTGTTTTCAGCCAGGATCCGTCGGACATGAACGATATCCCTAGTTCCATGTTCTCTTCCGAAGCCAACTGGAATTTCTGCAGCCCTCTGTCTGTAGACCGTTGCACCATTTTAAAAATTATCTTCAGCAATATTTTACTTGACCATCAACCATTTATTTTTGGTGCAGTGACTCTGTATAGTCCTACCATCTTCTTTTGGTACTTTCTACATTATTTAATATTTTGCCTGTTGTTGTTGTCGATTCTGACTGTCAGCGACTCTGTATAGGATTTCCGGGTCCTGTTGTGGCACTGTGGGCTACTGTGCCAGACTGCAAAGTCAGTTTGAACTGCAAGGTTGGTGGTTCAAGCTTACCAGCTGCTCCTTGGAAACCCTATACAGTGTCGCTATGGGTTGAACACTGCCTCGATGGCACTTAACAGCAACATATCTTCAAGAGAGCAGAAAGCGTCATTTTTCTCCCACAGAGTGGTCAATGAGCTCGAACCAAGGACCTTGCGGTTTGCAGTCCAGTGCTTATATCTTGTGGAGCCACTGCACCTGCACTCCCATTTTGCCCGTGGAATCCTTACAAGTCTTTAATGTTTTTCTTCAGTTCTTTCAGCTTGAGAAATGCTGAGTATGTTCTTCCCTTTCTTGTTTTCAAACTCCAGGTCTTTGCACATAGCTTCATGATTCTTGACTTTATCTTCTTGAGCTGCTGACCTCTGAAATTATTTGTTCAACTCTTATAGCTCCTCATTTCTCCCATTGGCGTTTTAGCATCTCCTCATTAGAGAGCAAGTTTTAGAGTCTCTTCTGACATCCATTTTGGTCTTTTCTTTCTTTCCTGTCTTTTTAATGACCTTTCGCTTTTGTCCTGTATGATGTTCTTGATGTCATCCCACGTTTCTTCCTGTCTTCAGTCTTTAGTGTCTAATGCATCACATGTATTCTTGAGATGGATCATATTTTGGCCTTTGTAGACTTGTTTCAGTTTTCTTCAGCTTCAGCCTGAACTTGCATGTGCTCCATAGGCTGCCCCTGTCTCTGTTCTGGCTGATGCTCTGGAACTTTTCCACCAACTCTTCCACAGATGTAGTCAGTTTGATAGCTCTGTATTCCACCTGAAGAGGTCCATGTGTATAGCTGTCTTTTATAGTGATTAAGAAAGGTATTTGCAATGAAGAAGTCATTGGTCATGCAAAATTCTGTCATGCAATTTCCGGCATCATTTCTATCACCAAGGCCATGTTTTCCAACTACGGATCCTTCCTGTTTGTTTCCAACCTCTGCATTCCAGTTGCCAGTAATGATCAATACATCTTGATTGAATGTTTGATCAATTTCAGACTGAAGAAGTTCGTAGAATTCTTCAAACTCACCATCACTGTCTTTGTGGTAGGTGCATAAGTTTGAATAATTGTGGTATTAACTGGTGTTCCTTGTAGGCATATGGATATTATCCTAGCACAGACAACATTGTACTGCAAGATAGCTCTTGAAATGTTCTTCATAACAATGCATGTACACTGTTTTTCAATTTGTTGTTCCTGTCATAGTAAACAATATAATTGTCTCATTCAAAATGGCTTATACCAGTCCATTTCACCTCATCAATTTCCGGTATATTGATTGATTTGGTTGTTGTTGTTCTATTTCATTTTTGACAACTTCCAACTTTGCTAGATTGTAGTTTGTGTGTTCCATGTTCTGTTTAGTGATGGATGGTTGAGGCTGTTTCTCCTCATTGTGAGTTGTGCTCCATCAGCAAATGAAGGTCGTGCAAGCTTTACTCCATTTATGTCATCATGGTCAGCTTCTCTTTGATGAGACAGCTTTACCCTAGTTGTATTTTGAGTACCTTCCAACCTGAGGGACTCATCTTCCAGCACTATGTCTGACAATGTACTGCTGCTATTCCAATGTTTTTATCTTCCTGCATTATGTCTGACAATGTTCCTTTGCTGTTCATAAGCTTTTCATTAGGTAACCATTCAGAAGTAGTCTGCCTCTGCTCCTTTCATGCCTTCTTAGTCTAGACCTTACACTGAAACCTATAAAATACTGGTGTCATAGCTTCCAGCAACACACAAACTACCCCAGTATGACAAACTGACGTTAGTCTTGGTGGTGATCGTGTGCTTTGGATTTGGTTTTGGCTCATACGTCCCTGTGTAGTATTTCTGAGGCTGTAAGTCTTTATAGAAGCAGGAAGGCTCATCTGTGTCCTCTGGAGAGGCTGGTAGATTCGAACTGCTGACCTTTCTGATTAACAGCCCAGCTCGTGATCCACTATGCTTCCAGAGCACCTTGACTTTCGTGCTTGGTGGTGTGGTGGTGGTTTGCCGTGGAGTTGATTCCAACTCACAGTGACCCTGCATAGGGTTTCCATAAGTCTTTACGGGAGCAGAAAGCCTCATCTTTCGCCCATGGAATGGCTGGTAGTTTCGAACAGCAGACCTTAAGGTTAGCAGCCTGACTTGTAACCACTGTGCTACCAGAGCTTCTGAGTCCAAGGGCAGGTGCTAATTTTAGTGCTTTGAGAGGAGTAAGAGCCCCAGATCCCTGAAGCTACATTCTTCCTTTGTTGTTGTTGTCATGTGCCGTGGAGTCGGCTTCGACTCATAGAGACCCTGCACAGGGTTTCCTAGGCTGTAAATCTTTACGGGAGCAGAAAGCCTTATCTTTATCCCGCAGAACAGCTGGTAGTTTCAAACTGCTGACCTTGCGGTTCGCAGCCCGATTTGTAACCACTACGTGTCCTTGTTGTTGTTGTTGTTATGTGCCATCGAGTCAGTCCCGACCCATAGCGACCCTGTACAGGGTTTCCGAGGGTGTAAATCTTTACGGGAGTAGAAAGCCTCATCTTTCTCCCGCGGAGCAGCTGGTAGTTTCGAACCACTGACCTTAAGGTTCGCAGCCCGATTCGTAACCACTACGCTACCAGAGCTCCTTAGGAAAGTACAAGTCAAAGCCACAATAAGATACCACTTCACAGCCATTTGAATGGCTGGAATCAAGAAGATCAGCAGTAAGAAGTGTTGGCATGGATATGGAGAGTTTGACTCCTAGGGAAGTGGTTACGAACTGCTAATCTCAAGGCCGGCAGTTTGAAACTATCAGCTATCCGTGGGAGAAGGATGAGGCTTTCTGCTCCCATAGATATTTACAGCCTCAGAAACCCTGTGCAGGGTCGCTATGAGTTGGAACCGACTCCACGGTACTTAACATCAACACCACCACTTCTGGTAGGAGCGTGAGATAGCGCATGCTTGGGAAGACATTTAGGTGGATTCTCAGAAAGTTAAAGTGAATGGCCCCTTGACCAGGGATTCTGTTCTGGGTGTATGCTGTAGAGAAGTGAAAGCAGATGTCCACATAAAGCCTTGTATGTAATGTTCCTAACTTCATTATGCATAATAGACAATAAGTGGAAAGTCTGGAGTGTGCATATCGTGTGTGTTAAGATGAATTTCTGTTCACTTTTCTGAACTGGGTGCTTCATTTTCTTCTGTTTTATGAAGTGGGAATTGTAAAAGAGGCCCTTCTCCATGGCTGGTGTGCATGATGTCCTGGTCTGGCTTTCACCCTGGAGGTGACAGCTCCTCGGGCACTGAAGTGAGTACTGGTGGAGCCAGGACTCCCTGCTCTGCCCTTTGTCTGGCATGGCGGTCTGTCCATCCTAGCCCATGGAGAGCCTCACTGGTGAGTGTAAATCTGGCACCAGGCTGCCACAGGCGCCCAGTGTGGTGATTACCATGTGATGGCCATCTAGATAGCAGCCCAGTCCTCAGAGCACCTGCCCTGGGACTTACACGTCAGACTATGAAAGGGAGCACACAGTTAGGAGGAAGTGGCTCCTGGGCTCTGATCGCTTCTGGCATCTTTTTCTGGGAGTCAGTAAATCATCATTGCCATCCATGGATTCTGACTCACAGTTACCTACAGGACTGGCCCAGTGGGTTTCCAAGACTCATCTTTTCTGAAGCAAACAGCCACATGTTTTTCCCAGGAGTGAGTAGGTGGGTTTAAACCACAGACCTTTCCATTAGTGCAGAAGTATATATATATTTGTGAGTGTGGCCTTGTTGTTTGCTTGCTTTTGATTTACATTTTCACTTTGGAACAATTTCAGACTGAAGAATTGTAAAGATGCAACAGAGAATTCCCACACTCCCCAGTTCCTTACATGATTACATTGTACACAGCCCAAAGGCTCTGGGCAGTGTGTTTGCCCTTGGCCTGGGAGAACAGAAGTTTGTATCTGCTGCCAGTCACCGGTTAGAGGCATTGTGCCTTTCCTGGAGACTCCAGGGTTTGTCAAGTCAGGCAAGGCCACCCTGAGTCATGAATCGTGAGTGCAGCTAAAGGAGAACTGGACTTCCACGCGCCCTCTGGTGGCGACTTGAGATTGGTGCGGGTGGTCTGTGCTGAGCGTGACTGTTGATTGGCTTTGTTTGTTGGGGTCCCTGTCCTGCAGTGGTATGCCAGACCAAGGTCAGCTTTGTTGTTGTCGTTAGCATCATGTCCCAGGTGCTGTGATGGGGACTGTAGCATGGGGGGACTCATAGCTGCCTCTGATTTCTTCCCCAGGTGCCCTACGAAACACTGAATAAACGCTTCCGAGCTGCTCAGAAAAACATCGACCGCGAAACCAGCCACGTCACCATGGTAGTGGCCGAGCTGGAGAAGACCTTGAGCAGCTGTCCTGCTGTGGACTCAGTGGTCAGCCTTCTGGACGGTGTAGTGGAGAAGCTCAGCGTGCTGAAGAGGAAGGTGAGTCCACTGCAGAGCGGCCCAGATTGGACCCTGACGAACCCCAGGGGCAGGTTGTAGCCTGCATTTTGTAAAAGATAGGTGTTTCCAGCATTTTCCACCCTCAAATATCCTGTGAGTGAAATGAGAACAATGTGTCGGCATGAATTCCATTCAGAGACACGTAAGGTTAGAGAATCAAGATTTACTGCCTCTGTTTAAAGATTTGGTGAATGTTTAAGCTTTGATCTCTTTGAGCACTTTAACCGTCTTAAATGGTCTGGTTTCTTAGCAGTGCTGTTGTTTTTCCAGGTGGGGTAAGTTACGGAGGGAGAATCACCTTCCATTCTTTATATTTCTGGTTGAGGACTAAATCTCCTTCAAACACAGATCTCGCCATGCTAATCCTTCCATGAAAATAGCACAGTAGACATTTGATTGGATGCTAGCAGAGCTGAATTTACCCCAAAGCTGATTGAGCTTAGCACTGCAGACTGTGGTTTTGCCCTGCCCTCTTTCTCATCTTGCTCTTGAGAAATGAGCCCCATGTGCTGCTGGATTCCCAACCAGCAGGGCAGGTGTGCTGGCCAGCCGCGTGTCCCTCCACAGGTTCTCAGACAAGGTTGGCATAAGGCTTCTCCCTGGGCCCGCTGGGGAATGTATACAGAGCAAAACCAGCCCCCCACCCCCAGCCACTCCAGCCTCTGTGGGCCTGTGCCCAGTTAGTGCAGCTGCACAGGGCTCGCAAGTGTGGTGTGCTTTATCTGTGCCCGTTCCCACAGCCCCACTGGCCAGGGCAGGCAAGAGTGTTGGTCACCCCTGCTTCAAGCTGGCAGCTGGGCAGCTGAGGATCACTGGAGACTACCGTCAGAGAACTGACACTGTCCCTGTAATGAACACAATGAGAACAGTCCCTATACTGTCGGAAAGGGACTACCATTCTTTTGGTTGACTAGTGTATGGGTTTCCCCAAGCCTTGCAGCCCCATCGTGTGTTAGTTTCCATGTGCATCACGTGCACGTGCATGCTATTTACATGGCTGTACTGTATGTAGACACAAACCCAGTTGTCTAGTCTGAAGAAATCGTGGTTCCTGGGAAGGAAGGGCTCCCTTCTGGGCTCTGCTCAAGTATCACTGTTGGGCTGAGTGGTCAGCTTCCTTTCCCATGCATGTTCCTGTTCCACTAAGGATGGGGTTGTCTTAGCTCCAGGAGTGTCCCCAGCCCAGCTGGGAGGCTGGCTATGGAACACATTGGTTTATTGTCTTTTGAATGTCGTCTCCACAAACAATACGTGGGATTTTTTTTATTTCTGTGACTAGGGTATTCAGACTAATCTTCCCACTGAAAACATCCAGAAATGCTGGAAAGACATTTTAAACATCATAAAAGCATCTTAAGTTGTCCATCCCTATCTACCCTGTGTACAGAGGGGATAGTATTGATACTTGATGTGAAGACTCTTTCCCTCTCTGTTGGTATTTAGAGTTACTACCTCCATGAGTATAGGTCAGGTTCATCAAATTGTAGCAATTTACCCTCGTTTTCTTTATCAAAAATTGTTTTGTTTTGTTTTGATCTTCCTCTAGTCGAGTTCTGATTACCAAGCCTAGGTCAAATGGGTACTGTCTGCAAGTTTGGGCGTTCTTGTGCCTCTCCCTTCACTTCATATCAGCTGGATGCTTCACTCTCAGCTCTAGAGCAGAAATTTTAAAGCCCAAATGAAAGCTCAAGAAATGCGAACTATAACTAAAATGAAAAATGCATTGTTTATGTCACAGCCACAGCTGAAGAGAGAATTAGTGAGCTGCAACAGAGACCTGAAGAAATCATCTAGAATGAGTAGAGAGAGAGTAGGTGAAAATCCATGAGGCTAGGAGATGTGTAGGATAGAAGAAAACGTGTGTTCTTTTAAGCAGGTTCCAGCAGGAGGGAGAGAGAGTGGGCCAGAAACAATATATGAAGGGACAATGACTGAGGAATTTTCAGAATTACAGAAAATTACCAGATCAGAGATTCATGAATCCTAAATGATAAAACTAAACACACACAGGCTTTTTGCATAGTAAAACTTAAGAAAACAAAGGTAAAGAGAAATGTCTTAGAAATAGCTAGAGGAAAAGACTGCTTCCGGAGGAACCGCTCCTGAACTGAGAGTTGCTGACAGCCAGTGCCAGCCTGAAAAGCCTGGAGTGGGCTGGAGAAACCGGCCGGCCAGAGTCCTAGAGCCCTCCTGTTCACTCAGGCCACCTGGGGCCTCACCTGCCAGCTCAGCAGAAGTGGTCCTAGCCTGGGGAGTCCAGGCACAGGTGCAGCGAATGTGTGGCTACGAAACTTGTAATTTAACGACATTTTCAATTCAGTACATTGATTGCACTAACTGTTGTCTGAGTGCTCCGTAGCCACACGTGGCCAGTGGCTGCTAGATTGCAGACACAGGACATTTCTGTCTAGCCAAACTCATTTTGAACAACAGAATTGACTTTAAGGCAAAAAGCCATGTAAGCCATTGTTGTTGTTGTTAAGTGCCGTGGAGTCGGTTCTGACTCACAGCGACCCTGTATCGGGTTTCCGAGGCTGTAAATGTTTACAGGAGCAGAAAGCCTCATCTTTCTCCCGTGGCACAGCTGGGAGTTTCAGCTAAGAAGGCCGTTTTATAATGGTGAATAGTGTAATGACCATGGCCTCAGAATACATAAAGGAAAGCAGCGTAACTGCAAAAAAGCTACAGATCAGCAAGATGGTCAATTTCAATGTGTCTGTGAGTCGTCACTGCAAACTGACAGGTCAATACAAATGAAGTATGCAGACGTACACATTGCCTAGTGAACGGATGTAGAGCACCGTCTCAGTAATTGCAGAATTTCAGGCATTGGGAATATTAATGAAAGTGCTATCTCAAAACACTGCAAAGGATTGAAATCGCATGTAATGCACTTAAGCTGGGACCCAGTGGTGGTGGTGGTGTTCAGTCGCTGAGCCGGGTCTGACTCATGGTGACTCCGTATAGGGTTTCTGAGGAGCAGCTGGTGAGCTTGAACTACTGACCTTGCAGTCTAGCCCGTTAAACCACAGCACCACACCAGCACTCCAGGAACCAATAGCAAAAAAATTCTGAAACATATGAAGACAACCTAATTTAGAAATGGACTTTTAAATAACTCCAGTACTTGTCATTGAATGCTTGAGGATGTTGCATATTTTTTTTAAAAAATGCAAATTAAACCCAAAGAAAGTAGAAGGGAGGGGCATGAAAGAAAGGCAGATATTTATGAGAGAGAAATCAAACATTAAGTGGGTCTGGAGAACTAAGTATGGTTTGTAGAAAAACTTACAAGATTTGACAACACTTGAATCAAGAAAATGAGAGAGGAGGCTCGAACATGACTGGATGAGGATTGAAAAGGGAGCATAGCTACAGACTTAGACAGATACCTACAGAAGGTGAGGGGATTCTGAGGGTCTGTTTATAAACAGTATCCCAGTACTTTTGGTTTCCAGCCCAAAGAACTCCCTTTAGGATGTTATGAAGTGCTGGATTGGTTTTGACAAAATCTCTCCGCTTCTGTTTATCCTGGAATGCTTTGATTGCACCATCACATTTGATTGACAGTTTTGCTGGATAAAATAATTCTCGGTTGGCAGTTTTTTTCTTTTAGGGTTTTATATATGTCTCCCCATTGCCTTCTTGCCTGCATGGTTTCTTCTGAGAAGTCAGAGCTTAGTCTGATTTGCTTGCCTTTGTAGGTAACACTTCTCTTTTCCCAGGCTGCTTTTAGGATTCTCTCCTTGTCTTTGATTTTGGAGAGCTTGATTATATGTCTTGGTACTTTTCTATTAGAGTCTATCCTTCCTGGGGTTCGTTCAGCTTCTTGAATGCTTATCTTCTCATTCTTCAAGATGTTAGGAAAATTTTCTTCCGGAATCTCTTCAACTGTCTCCTCTGTGGACTTCAGTGATTCTTCCTGTTCCGGAATGCCAATAATCCTTAATTTATTCCTCTTCATGTTATCCAGCATGAATCTTAGACTCTCTTCAGATTTTTTTATCCTTTTTTTCTGCTTGCTCTTCTATCTTAGCAATATTGAGAGATTTGTCATCCAGCTCACTGGTTCTGGCTTCTATCTCTTCAGTTCTGCTCCTTTCTCCTTTCAGTGTATTGTCCATTTCTGGGGTTTTTGTTTTTGCTTTGTTTTTAAGTTTTTATTGTGAATTGAGTGATAGTTTACATGGTCTAACATTGGCATTGCACTCATCATTTCATTGCAATGATTACAATCTCCTCTGTGCATCATCACCACTCAACAGTATTTGCTTCCATTCCCTGGTTTTTTTTTTTTTTTTTTTTTTTTTTGGTGTGTGTTGGGTGGTCTACACAGAAACACTCAGGAATATATAATAATTTAAACAACCAAAGAGCACATTCTGTAAGCTTGTCTCCTGGCCGTCAGTACCCAGTCCTTCTCTTTCCATGAGTCCGGAGTCCTCAGTCCTCTGCTGCTCCCTCTCTCCATGTCCTCATCTCTGCCTCCGTCTTTGGAGTCGCTGCTTCTCTGGATCAGGTCCCACACCCTGCTTGTGCTCTTCTCCCTTGGCCATCCTTACTTTTTTTTTTTTACACATTAAATCACATTTATTTAGGGTCAGTTATAGGCATCCTGGTGTGGCGCTGTGGATTAATGCGCTAGACTGCACAGTCGGTTTGAACTACAAAGTTGGTGGTTCAAGCTCATTAGTCACGCCTTGGAAACCCTCTAGAGGGTCGCTATGGGTTGAAACCGAATCGACAACACTTAACAGCAACAGCATAGCCACAAAAGGTTACATTTAGTCTACTATCTCTCTTTTCAATCAAGATTAACAGTAATAAAGAAAATAGCTAGCCATTCCATAATCAAGCTATTTTAGGGATAGCAGGTGTAAAGGAGAATACATGCATATAGTTCAGTTTCTATAGGGCTATCTGTGATTTTCCTTAAAAAAAAAAAAAAAAAAAAGTCTATGAAAAGCGTTGTGGGGAGG